TACTTATTCAATCTATTGTTGATACAATAGATCGATTGAATTGAATGATTCTATACAAGAAAATCATTCCTTATATAGGATATTTGAAAAACATGAACTATCACTCAATGATAATGATTAATAGATAATCATCGACGATCAATTTATCGTCAGTCGACGATGAATATGTATTTATTCTATTTACATTACATTCACAGCCGTAACTCAGTGACTAAAAAAAAAAAAAAGCAAACAAAAACAATTCATTTCAATGGTTATTGTTTGAATTTCCATGTAGGAAATTTCATTCTTTTCTTTGACATCATTTTCATTGAATAATGATGATTATTTTCGAAAACTAAGATTTCTTCATTATTTTCATTATACAAACGATCAAATAATTTATGTAAATTTTTTTAGAGAAAAATCGTTTTAATCGATGTCTGTTATGTGAAATTTATCGTGTGTCACAATTTAAAATGAATGAATACATGGTTGAGTTTTTGATGAAGTTCTAGATCAATTAATTACTAAACAAAGATTTATTGTAAAATATTTTCGTACATATATTTGTTTTGATATATCAATTCTTTTCTAATTCATTTCATGAGTATTGTTCGGAATCTCATAATGCAAATCCATAAAACAATTATAACATCAGCCTTCACTTGTTATGATACTGTAGTTAGTCAGTGGTCTTTTGACTTTCCTGATTTCAGCATCATAGATTTTTCTTAATCAAACTAAATGTAATGATTTATCAGGTATAGATGGTAGTTCCAAAGAAATAAAGATTACTGTTATTGCTGGTAAAATTCGTCGTTGTATAATATATTCATTATTTTACTTTTTTCTTTCATCAGATATTTCTAAGAAATATTCTATTAATGGAGTATCACCATAGTTGTTTCGCCATTTTCTATTCTAACGTTCTTAACTGGTTATTCTAATTTTAAGGACTGATATAGAGAGTTTTTAGAACATATTTCTTTTAAATAAGAATCTTCAACTCATATTAATAAATTGTTTTGGTGTCTGACAAAGATGTTATAGTTGCTGTTGTCATTGATCTGTGTATTTGTCTTTCATGTTATCATCCGTATTTCTAGATATGCCACGCATTAGGCCATTATTTTGCGATTACGATTTCTTAAATTATTTTTTCGTTGCATAAAGGACAAGCCAGAAATCTTGATACAATTTGAATATTAAAATTTTCTTCGTGAAATAAATATTTGTAAAATTTGTCTTTATGATGAAAAGATACAGTAAAACACACACACTACAATATAATTTTTTATTCACTTCACTATTTCTTGTAGTGAGAATTGAAATAAGAATGTAACGTAACTCGTTCGTAAAGTCTCAGAGAACAAATTCGTTGTGTAAAATTGAAAATATATCATGTTAAGATTCTTTTTCTAAATCATAAATAAATAAGTCATCTGATAGGATCCTCAAGCAAGATCGAACTTAGTTATGGTAACTTCTTCACTACCATTAAAAAGCCATATTTTTACTTAGATTTAAACAATAATTTCTTTGCTCATATCCCATTCAAAAACCAATTTTTTGTTTATTTTTATAAAAGTTTTATCTCAACTGATCAACTGATAAATAAATATATTGAAATTAGATTCAAATAGCATTCTCACATCTCAAGATTCCGATATTTCTATGATTTTAAAGAGATACATATATATTAACAGTGGCTTCACACATCTTATTTTTCGTGTAATTATTTATGAATGATATCAATTTATTATTTAAACTTTAAATTGAAAAAAAAATAAAAAAGAACATGATTTTATTTGATTATTATTGTTTATGACCACAAGCCAGAAAATTTGTTTGATTATAATAAAAGTCGATTGTTTTATCAGCACATGCTCCTCCTCCAGTTGAACCAACATGTGGACAATGTATAGATGGTAATAAAGGTACAAAATATGTATGAATAAAACGGCAAATAACATTTCCTTGATCTCCTCTTGCTACTCTTCAACTAAATCAGCTGTTTTTTTTTTCTTAGGATAGACCACAGATTAGAGTTCTTATTCATGTTGAAACAATCCATCCATACATATTAAATTAGCAAACTGTTCTTTTTTTCTTATATTTATTTGTTAATAAATGTCAAATATAAAATAATCAAAAAAAAAAAAAGAAAAAGTCAATATTCTTCAATTTTTTGTCGATCTTTTTCAATTTGTAAAACTTTTTTGTTAAACAATTTGAATTTGAATCATCGGAAAATGTTCCTTTCATAGAATTATTTGTTGATTGACCAAAAAAAAAGAGATTTTTTTTCATTTCTGTTAATAAGGATATTATCTTGATTATCATTTGAATTATTTATTTTTGATATTGTTGAAATAGTTGTTAAAAATTTACCATCTTCAGTTCAAGTTCGAGTCGTTCGTACTGTATCATTTGCACCTAGAATTTATTTATTTAAAAAAAAAAGAAAAAAATTTCAATATGATTCATATGATTTCAATTCAATTAGATTTAACAAATTTTATTAATTTATTTAATATGTTAATTACTTGTTTATTTGAATACGTCAACTAACAACTATTTTACTAAATATTTATTTATTTCATATATTTACATAATATGAGAGAAAAAAAATGTTTGAATAAATAAATAAATTTTATTATTCAATTAAGTTAAATAAAATTGATCGAAATATAAAAATAGTTCTTATGTATTTATTTAATTGTAGACAAATATTCTTATTTGTTTTATATT